TTAAAACTTATTTAACCTTAACTCATTAAAATTGATACGACGAAACCGTTGAGCAATAGCATCCATTGCATCATTATTGTCATTCTTATTATTTATATTAATATATAATAATTATTATTACTTTTTTTTTTTTGCATTTAGTTATAAAACTCAAAACTGATGCTCACACTCAAGACCATGAATTTGTGCAAATTATGCTGAGGAATTCGGATGTCTTAGTTTTCGGCGTCGATTCATCAGTCACTTAATATGTAAATACTTAACTAAACGTCACATGTTATAATGTAAGAAAACCAAAATCCTAACCTAATGACAGAAAGTCATAGGTTTAAACTACTGCGATTTGAACGATATCTATAAAATTTTAGAAATTATTGCTTGACTTTGAAAATGAAAATTGTGCAACCCGACCCTTTAAAATGGCAAATGTTTATTTACAATTAATGTTCCCGCAAAGGATGAATGCAGATTTAATATCCAAATAGGCATATTCCCTAGATTTAAACTTTATTTAAGAGCAAAACCAAGAGCGTAGATCTAGTTCATGTTAAAACGAATGTATTGTAATATAGACATAATTTTACATCTCTGGAAGACAGGGGAAATGTTCAAAAAGTTAAAGAATAATATTGTGATGACTAGATGTAATTGTATCGAATTAGTAACGATTCGCCACACTAACGATTCGCCACATAACGATTCGCCACAGAGTAATAACGATTCGCCACAGTTAAATAACGATTCGCCACAGTATGATTATAGATCTAACAATGTTTTTTTTTATAGTTATCAACAAACTTTTTCCTTTTGTTTTAATAATTTGACAATGACAATAATTTGATAATGTTTCTTAATACAAGTAACATGAACTTAAAGCCCCCATCGCGGATTTTCAATTTATCAAAGTAACATTATTACAGGAGTACATTTACAAGAAAGTAATTTATATGTTTAAATAAATATTGAATTAATCATAAACATAAATGTCAATTAATATTTATATATATAAATATATGTTCATATATTATATATATGTCAAATATTTAAAAAAAAAATTATGCAAAAACATGTGATCATTACGAAAAATTATTTAGGATAATTGATTAAAGAACGCATATCTAAAACATTTGTCAACACTTTAATTTTTTAATAAACCAATCACCTTAAGCTTGTTGTAGAAATATTTAATTGACGCCGAAATAATCCTTAATTATCTGACAATCATGTGATCAGATTTTCAAAACAATGCGGCAATTATGCCTTATTTATGTAAATTTTGTAATAAAATATGTTAGTTATATAAATGTGTATAAATTAGTAGAGTTACTACAATCAGATAATAAAGCTATACTTGTAAATTTAGGAAAATATATAGATGAAGCTAATAAAAAGCGACAAGAATTGTTACCACCCGTTGTTAATTCATAACACTTTTTAAAATGTTAATTGTTTCAACTTATTATCGTTAAAAAGATACATGTAATACTATACTTTGACGCTGTCATTGTCACGTCTTTTCTGTTTTTTTAATGTTCTCTTCTTACTGGAACTTTTTATTTCTATGAATGATAATGAAATTGTGATGTTCTTTGTTCTTTTATTTTGCAGCTGTCTGTTCTCCGTTAGAATGTCATCAGTTAAAACTTTTTATGTTCTTCTTAATATTTTTTTCTTTGCTTTTGTCATGTGACCACATAATTATTATCTTTGTAATTATTGTATGCAACGAGATATTGTAAAATATAAGTTACCGAAATAAACTATTTCTACTTGTTCTAAAAATAACTTATCTTAAATGTGTAATGTATTTTGTAATAAAATATTCATGTGTCCTTAATTTATTTAAAAAAAGTTGTTTTGTATAATTTTCCAGTTTTATATAAATAACGAAGTTTTTTCTCATCTACAGTTAATGTGTGATGTAATTTTGGTAATAAAATATATTTATTTTCATGTTTTTTTTATTCTATAAAAGTTGTTAGTATATTTTCCAGTTTATATAAAATAACAAAGTTATAAAATGTTGTTACGTAATTTTGTTAATAAAATATTTGGTTTTCGTGTTTTTTTTATTCAATAAAAGCTGTATTCAGTGTAATTAATTTATGTAATTAACAAATGAAATATAAAATGGAAAAAAAAAATTTCCCATCAACAATTTGAAAACAGGTGTGAAAAACTTTGTATTTGAACACGTGGCGAATCGTTATTTAACTGTGGCGAATCGTTATTACTCTGTGTCGAATCGTTATGTGGCGAATCGTTAGTGTGGCGAATCGTTACATTACCATTGTATCAATAGTCACATGTCCATTTTAAATCATTAATTGACTTTTCTTTTTCCTGTCTCCCCCCAATATTTTATTATTATACTCATTTTATGAATTAAAGGTCCTTGATGTCTTATAACTTAAAAGTACTCGACTGAAGAGATTTTTGACATGACAGTACTGGAAATATATATTTTTTTTTTTAAATTATCGTATTAATTGATACAGTAATAGATAATTACTAATGTGCAAAATTACAAAAATTTCATCACTCCAGGGTATCCGCCCAAGTTTAAAACATTTTCTTATAGTTGTGTGACAGTTGCTTTTAAGAATATTTTATGTTAAAATCGACATTTTGTTAATATTCTGCATTTTTGAAGAACTCTTCTGTAATAAGGAATATATGTGTATTTAATTGATAATGTCATTTTTGTCACAAACAGCATAGATTAAATTTTAACTATAATTTGTATTTAAAAAACAGTGACGTCACCTGTCTATCGGTTAATCTTGTATCAACAATTAGCTTGATTTAGGCATCACAACTTCTGCTGGTTCTACCGACTTCTGTGTTCTGTTCCGTGCCATTGTCTAGAACATAATGTTGACCAGTCTCTTCAAAGAAACCTTGACAGCCAGAAAAACTTGTGACAAGTTAGGTTGTCGTTTGCATGGCCCCAGCAATTTGTAAAAAGAAAGTAGAATAAAATCAGAATTAAAATGCTGAGTTTACAACAAATACAAGGTTAACGTATTACGTTATCACGACTTATAATGTCTACGAATGACATTACTAACCATTATGAAGCATCCCTACGTGAAAAGTTTAATATATTAAAGGATAGATGTACCTGGACAAATCATTCAACATAATTTATGGGTAGATAAAGTTTCTTTATCAATACTTTATAAACATTAACATAATAACATACTGTCAGGGCATTTATTACACTGTATACTCCACTAGTCACAAGGTATATTTGTTACGTCATAAAGTCTAGTGATGACGTGATCAAATAATATTTGTTTTTATTAGGCTAAATAAACCTAAGTACTTCAGTATTGCAAAATAGTATCAACAATGTCTTTAGTAGGATCACTTTTTCTCAGACCTTTCTCTGCCCTTAAGCCTACAGTATCGGTAATAGATCTAGATTGTCTAATCTCGTGGTCGTAATAAAATTTGAAAAATTGGTTTGTTAGATAAATTTAACACAATATTAAAGATAATAAAGAAAAGCAACTCTACCTTCGGCTACTTTAAAAAAAACACAAAAATGAAGTCTTTTGCCATGTTTGTTCAGAACCGCTACATAATTTTTTCTCCAATATTTTTCCGTGTTAGTTCACGGCAGCTTCTAGAGCTCGGAGACTGGATCGAAAAGGAATTTGCAGAAGCGTGCTCGGTTTATATACCCAGTCTACTAAGCATGCGCGAACCAGATTGAATGACTTGTTAGGAGGAGGAGCCAAATATACAGGTCATTGCAAAAATACTGTGACGTATAGTGTAAAAATAAAGAGTTTAAACTCAAGCGCTTAAACTGAATATTGTCAATCTTCTTGTTATTAATGAAAAGAATACAGGTAATTATACATATATTGTTATAAGTAAAATATCAAAACGAAACTCCGATATTTAAGAAAAAAAATATGAAAAAAAAAACAAACATTCATCATGATGTATGATACATTCTCGTTATAGATATCGTACTACGTTAGGAAAAATCAAAATAGATGGATAACATATTGCATGACGCTGTTAGTATTTAATAAAATCCTTCTTCCTCTCAAAGCATTTTACACAAGCTACTTGGAAACTTGATTTGTCAATATAAACAAACATATTTTCTGCAAAATTTAATTTCAGATTTATTTAAATGAAAAGTTGTGTATGTCAACTTTTTTACAAACAATAATAACATAAAATAATTAGACGAGTCTTTTAGCTTGTAATGTATATATGTATATGCGTTGTAAAAACCGTGTAGGGAGATTGAGCTCACTGTTTTGTGAAATATGTCTTGTATAAACGAAACTGTCATGTCATGTCTTATATAAGTTTAACAGTTATCTAGTCTTCTTCAAAACGTTTGTCGAAGAAAAAGTAGTGTATCCAGTAGATAAGATTGAAGATTGCAAACATTAGCGGGAACAGTATTCTAGATATGATGTCCACGGTTTTCGGATTTATATACTTCATGAACGTATTCATATTGTCTCGTGTACACATTGACCTATCTGTTACCTTCGTGTCCTGGTTATAAAATCAAAAAATGTTTATATACAATTTTGTGGATGTAAACATGTAAATGTTTAAACTTGTGTTTCATGTTTAAATGTATATGTTGAATATGTATGCATTATATCTTCATAAAATAACATTAAATACATGTAAGCACCCACAATGACATTAAATATACACATACTGAAATGTTCAATAAAACTTTATATTATTGTTAAAGAAGTTATTTTAGACAGCTTTATTAATCATTTAGTTTACCAATTCCTCTTCTTCTAGTGATTGAACCTCTGGTGATACTTTGACGTTTTTTCTACACTTTGTGGTACTCGGATGTGTCCTTGTATCATTTCCTGTTTGTTTTGTGTCATTGTTCAGCACGTTAACAACAGCAAACTCAACAAGCGCCAGGAATACGAAAGTAAGACAAGTTGCCATGTATACATCTATGGCCTATATATTATAAAATATTATAAAACATATCATTTTTAGACTTCAAACAAATGTTTTAATATTTTTGATTTTTAATAAGAAATGCCGAAATGTCGTAATAATGTAAACCCTACATTCAGTGAATTAGTAGAAAAATGAATGTGATAATTGTTAACTTAAAATGTGAATGCCAATGTTTTTGGTTGTACATTTTCAAGGTCAACAACAAATGTAATTTATCCATCGTCCAATATTCAATATTTGAAATTTTAGAAAATTATTTTTAAAAAAGAAAGAGAACAAAGACATTAACCTTGACATAAGAGACACGGGGCAAGTTTGCTCTAGCGCCTGCACTTTGTGTGGTCATAGTCAATACAGTCAGTAGACCGAGTGAAATCCTAGCTGGAACTGACGTAGGATCCAACCAAAAACTCACCCAGGACAGCATTACAATAAGACTACTAGGTATGAAGATTTGGATTGTATGAAAAGCATAATTCCTTTCAAGAACAATCTGCACACCAACACATGGGTATACGACTAAAATATAAACGATTGATACTGCACTAAAAAGAAAATAAAGAACGGATATAGAATTGTAAATCTATTACGAAAAAAGACATTGGCTATATCAGTCATTGCATTTGTTTTTCCAGTTTCTCTGGGGGAGCTCCTTGCTACATCCTATCAATTCTACATACAGCAAAATATGTCCATGAAGTGCATATTGTGAAGTATATATTTTGCAAGTCTTTTAACTCTCTTTTTGATACACATACATATCCTATAAGTTATTATCCTTAATTGCTTATCAAGATACTGAACTTGGTTCCTAACAGAACTTTAAAATGTTATATATATACATGTCATTATACAAGAAAACATAAATTAATTTAAGTTAACATGCCGAATATGAGTTAAGAGTAGATTTTTTACTGATGAATCCTATACAATCCTATAGTCAGTTGTTTATAAACAGTCAATTTGCTATTTCCTTCTTTCTCGGTTTAACAAAAAACCAACATCAACAACAATAAAAAACCAACAACAACACACACTTACTGCCGTAATAATCTTTCTCACAGCTGTATGATTTGATTTTCGTGATTCGAAATTGAGGAAATTCTATATCGTCTGCCATGGACACGGCATTCTCGCTCCAAATGAACTTTAAATCTTCCGTACTATGACTATCTGAAATACAACAGTCATCAAATAATTACCTGTATCATTCAAGAACAGAACAGAAAAAAAGAAATTTAATTACGACTTGTAAAAAGTACATCATCTACAATATATCAAAATCAAGATTGTATAAAGCTATACGAAGGTTGACTGATATGTAATGTACACGATAACGCTCTGTATGATTTTGTGTACAATGATACACCTTAATAGTTCAACACAGTAGTAAACTAATAGCAAATTTAGAAGAACCAGTCGTAGACAACTGTTGTAAAAGTGGTTGGGAAACGGGTTGAGAATATTGAAGAAATTAGATTAGAGCTTAATATGTAAAAGTTCACACAAAACTCGGTCAGTCAGTAAAGCAGACTTATACTGAATTTGAGGAAGTTTATAAGTCTGATAAGGTATTCGACAGTGGAGAAAGAAATTACTGACTGGCATTGTGTACGTCAAAGATGCAGCAAAATCTGACCGACCTGACAAATGTCTCAAAAGTAAGTGATATATTGCCAAATCTGGTGTATTTCATTTTGAAGCGTATTTTGAAACTACTGGATATTTATGCATGCAGTATGGATACCCAATATATTGACATATAACCTAAAAAGGTACAAGTGCAAACTGCTTAGCAATTGCTTAATATGTTTTGAAATTTCAATCAAAGACAATTTGCAAATATTGTTATTGGTGACGAAACATGGTTTCGCTATTTTGAACCAGTAAAAATTGGAAACAAAATATGGCTAACCATACACGGTAGAAGGTCTGAAGTTGTAGCAAAAAGGGCCATGAACACAAAGAAGCCCTTTATTTCATTTTCTCTCATGTGATGTGATAGTCGTACAAATCCCCCGGTACCGAAGGGCAAACGTGTGACTGGTCGGTATTACCGAGATGTTCTAAAGCCCTAGAAATAATATCAGAAATGTCGCCCTGTATCGGGATTCAGGTGTGGCCGTCTTATAATATTGCTCCATCACACAAATCTGAGCTTGTGAAGCACTGTTTGAGCTCGGGGAACATTAACACTTTACTACACACACCATACTCCCTAAATCCATACTCTCAAAACTAAAAACAGTTCTTATCTGGTCATCGATAACGATAAGCAAGCCCTGTGACAGACCCTTGGCTCAGCCGTAAATAAGTGCTTCAGAAGTCTACCTAAATCAGCGTACCATGACGTATGTCTTAAATGGATTTCAAGATTGAAATCATGTATTTTAAACCGCAGAAAATATTCTGAAAAGATGTAATGTTCATTTGACTATTTGAGTCGAATGTTTTTGACATATCGTACAATATACATTACACATTGAACACCCCCACTCATACCTGTTTTAAAATTTGTTATTTAATCTTGATGAAAAAATACTTCCAAAATACCTCTATGAAAGACATATGCCTGTATATGTCCTTCTGAGCAAAAAACGCATGCACGAAATCATTGCTAAGCGGTTAAAATAAAAGCTCCTGTGTAAGATTAAATTTTGACTCCGTTGAAAATTAACTCCAAAGGTATTTTGATCAATTTTCAACGTTGAAAAATGACACATTCCCGTTATTTAATGACCCATCCACGCATGAAAAATTACCTAGCTGAAAACTGACCAACCATAGACAGGCCATTCTTATACACTGATCATTGACTGATTGTCATTGGTTCAGGTGTGTCAAACATCGAACACATTGACTAAGAAAATTATCAAAAATAATATATCCACATATGGATCACAATATGTATTTTTACAATTATTCCCTTCGTCCATTTGGTGATTTCTAAAGAATTGATGAACAAACAATGCTGTGCTTCAATCAATTTCTTTATGTTTATACACCTAAACCCACGACAACAAAAATGTCTTGAAAAGATTGAATTAAATGACAATGTATGATTGGGTAACTATAAAGGAACTTTATAAGGGCTTTAAAGCATTTCGTTGACTCAAAAATGTAAAAAATACAATATCGCCCTCATATGGGAGTTTAACCAACATATGTTTTACCGGAAACCAGCATATCATTTTAACCAATGCACATTTCAGTGAACCATATAATTTTGGTCCAGCGTGATATTATTTGTGGGTGACTTAGAAATTTAGATCATTGTATACATAAAATATGCAGACATGTAAGAGTGAAATAATTTCTGAATTATGTACACTATACGATATCACTGACTTGCTGTTAAGTTATTATTTATACTTACAACTCTCCACTTCAAATTTACAATATTGTGTATCAAACGGATACTTTTGTAGATGCATCAAACATGAGTACGATCCTGTCACTCTACAAGAAATAATATGTATATTATATATATACCAATCCTATAAGGTGTAACATTAACTCAGTTATAATATATTCTCTATATAACAAAATACTGTTAAAAAATTTAATATCAACAGATAATATGATCTTTAAAATTCATAAAGGTGTTATTCTTAATTTTATCCTTTTTTCAAATCTTACTTTAAAATAAGAATTGAAACTTATTATGATTTATGTCATGTATTGATATATTTACTTTGTTGTTACTTTTTTCAATAATTGATATCCTATACAATTTAGAACAGGTATATATTTTTTTCAGAAATATGTTTTGCTTGACCAGTTATCTACCTGGCGCTATGTTGAATAGTACCATCGGGGTATATATGTATAAGTTTATTGGTAACCATGACTTCATGATAGTCGGATGATTTCTCATTTAGAATGTACATATCCGGCATCCATACGTCGTTAAACATTGAACTGTCTAAGTTAATTCTTGTAATGTTTAGCGTGTCATCATATTTTAAACGGTCGTCAATCCATCGTTCCCTTAGGAATATACTCATTGAATAATCCTTGTAACAAACGAAATAAATTAGAAAAACAAGGTTAATGTGTCAATAAACAAGAACAATGAAACGGATGTCACATTTTAGTAAAAACTTTAAAAGTCAAACAATTTTAATTATTCATGCTCAAACGGCCTATGATGTATGATGTCGATTGCTAGAATGTTATAAATCGTACAATGTCTATACAGAATAATTTATATGTCGAATACTTTTGTTCTGTTAAAAAACGAATATACATTAAACTAAAATCTATATTAACCAATTATATATCAAGTAACCCGTCCAATTACATGTTATCGTATATCTGCCCAATACCTTATTATTGTATACCTTCCCAATAACTTGTACGTAAAAAAACAATAAAGTTTTATAAAAAAAAACATGAAATAATAATACATACCATATTCATCTCACTTATAGAAAACATGGAGTTCACATACATGTTAACAGTCACTAGTACTTGTTTGTCTATACCGACTGTAAAGTAATTTCCACCATAATTACAACATTCTTGATAGCATACATTGTTAGAACAATATAGTTCAAAACCATAGTGATTAAATGTTATTGAAACCTTATATATAATGATATTGATGTGACTTTGAATTTATTTCTTTTGCATGTCTTATCTTGAAATATTATATTAATAGCACTACTACATGTATATCAAAGAATATTTATAAACTCAAACCACTTAATTTTGTTGCAAAATAGAAAAAAAGGACACTGCATTCGAAAAAATATAATAAATATAGAAAGAAGTTATTCAAGATACTGGTTATAGTAAATTAGCAATAAATATATTGCTTCATATGTATTTATATTAGGTAGTTTGTCACATTTCACTATTTAAAAACAGTGTAAATCGTACTAATTATCATTCAAGATTAAAAAAGTCACCTTTCTCACTATTTGGTGGCATCTTTTTGTCATAACCATCAAAAAGAGTGTCTAAAAGCGAGGATCTGAAATTATATTAACACAAATTACTCTGACTTACTTACACAAAACAGTAGAATAATCATGTGATGAACACCAATATAATGTATTTATACAAGTTATGTATATATAAAATATATTGTGCATGCCTAAATTTCTCTTATAAAGTCGCTGCTGCGGACACGTAAGTTTTTCATAAAATCATAACATAACAAAATGGCTTTATTGTGTACATTGATTTTTAGCACATTTTATAAACAAATTCTTTTCAAGACTTTAAAATTTTAATATAATCATTTTATGTTAACAATATGAGCAAGTTTTAAAAGGAATAAGGTCATCCATGGTTCATTCATTTCAATAGGAATCCATTACATTCTGTAGAGGAAAAAAATAATTTTAGAATACCTCATCTTTGTAAGTTACGTTATAGTGTTTCAATCACTGAATAGTGAAATGAAGAAACGTGCATAAATGTAGCCATTGTTGCAAAAAAAAGCAAAATTAAAAATGAAAATAAGTATGAACTATATAAATAAAAGTAATTAATATAAAACTTATATTATGTTGAGTTATGAAAATAATGAACTTATCAAAGGCTTATGTTTTTTATAATATACTGATATAACTATATTATAACCGGTTAAAAAAAGACTTACACGTTAGTATATTTACTTTCACTAGCAGCCGAACAACAAACAATCAGTGTCAGGTAAACTAAGATCATAGTACGAGTATCCATATTTTGTAAGACAATAATATATAAACGATCTGAAATAAAAATATGTACAGAATTCCCACCGCTTATATATCCAATAACGCAAAGAATGTGAAGATAACACGAGAACTGTACCATACTAACGCAGGAGTGTGCAAATCAAAGACCGAAACAAGCATCACGGCAAGTAAACGGACCAACATATTTAATATATATTTTATAAGTCAAATTGAAAGATTCGGTGTTTCTTTTCCAAAACCTTTGCGTTATTTTCACAATCCTGCGTCACTGGATATACAAGGTGATTCTCTTTTTAAAAAAGATACCATAACATAATTAAAACAACTTTGTATTTAAGCACATGATTAATGATGTAAACACGTACATTAATTCATATACCATTGTTTTGTTACTTATCATTTACCTAATGTAAGGCTTACACTTTTACTTGAATTTTAGATAGTATATCCGTCACAAATGAATCTGTATAAATGAGATAATGGTAACCGGTCTGTTATATAACTATATATTTTTACAATTTCGTTATGGTTCTTGTGAGACACGTTCAGTGTAATTCGTAGAAATTCAGGATGAAACACTATTATTAACTTGGTAAAAGATAGCTGTTATATCCAGTATTGAAACAATAAGTAGTGTGTGTTATCTACAGCTAGTGTTGTATTTACCTTAGATACTAAAAAACATGCTATTCAAACAATCAATATAATGATGATTTTATATACATATACATAAGAGTTGTCATAAAAAAAGAACTTGAAATATACTATTGTTGTGAAAGATTTGAATAATTAACAGTATATTTGCATTATTAAAATATGTAAACAATTGAAACAATTCGTTTAGAAATTGTTAATGTATTTTCGATAAAATCACTAAAACATATTCTTATAAAAGCAACACATTTAAAATGGCAAGCCTCACATAGTTAACAAATATTTGGAAACAACTTACCTTAAATATTTTATTTAACGACATTAAAAGCAAGCATGTTCAACCACAAAAGAGCTATCGGATTTAGCTAACTATTCAAACATATTTATATAAATATATTGTCAAAGTTTCACATATTTACAAATCTTTTGAATGATTAAATAAATATACAAATAAACTGCTGAACTACTTGGCAATGAAAAAATAAAAACTCACTGAAGGACAATAAAACAAATTGCATCATAGTTTGGGGACATTTGAGTTAAATCGTTTACATATACATGCACGGTGCGTTAACTGGAGTGCAGGTATTAGTTACCCGCACTCCAGAGCATGCCCATTGATTGGCTCATTTTTGCTGGGGTTTACTTATTGTGACGGCAGAGAAAGGAAAAGCGACAGAAATATCATATTTAGATGCTCGTTCATTGGTTACTTTTCTCCGGGGTTTCATATTGTGACAGTAGGGAACGTGTTTTTATGTTTGACTATGATACAAAAGAGAAAGAACATCAAAACACTCGGCAATCTGATTTATCAGATAGCCTCGTGTTTCGATGCTCTTTCTATTACTAAACTCACTGATTGGACAATAAAACGAATAAACTCTCTGATGGGACAGTAAAACAAATAAAATCACTGATTGGACAGTAAAACAAATAAACTCACTGACTGGACAAAAAAAACATCAAATAAAATCATAGATGGGACAATCAAACAAATAAAATTACAGATGGGACAACATAACAAATAAACTCACTGATGGGACAATAAAATAAATAAACTCACAGATGGGACAATAAAACAAATGAACTCACAGATGGGACAATAAAACAATTAAACTCACAGGTGGGACAGTTAAACAAATAAGATCGCTGATTGGACAATATAACAAATAAATTCACAGATGGGACAATAAAACAAATAACTCACTGATTGGACAATAAAAAAATAAACTCACAGATGGGACAATATAATAAATAAAATCTCTGATTTCACAATAAAACAAATAAACTCACAGATGGGACAGTAAAACAAATAAGATCGCTGATTGGACAATATAACAAATAAATTCACAGATGGGACAATAAAACAAATAACTCACAGATGGGACAATAAAGTAAATAAAATCACTGATGGGACAAGAAAACACATAAACTCACTGATGGGACAATAAAACAAATAGACTCACAGATGGGACAATAAAACAAATAAACTCACAGGTGGGACAATAAAACAAATAAACTCACTGATTGGAAAATAAAACAATAAAATCGCTGATGAGACAATATAATAAATAAAATCTCTGATGAGACAAGAAAACAAAAAAAACTCACAGATGGGACAATAAAACAAATAAAATTACTGATTGGACAATAAAACAAATAAAATCACTGACGGGACAATAAAACAAATAAACTCACTTATTGGACAAAGAAACAAATAAACTCACTGATGGGACAATAAAACTAATAGACTCACAGATGGGACAATAAAACGAAAAACTCAATGATTGGACAATAAAACAAATTAACTCAAAAATGAGACTATAAAACAAATAAAATCACAGATGGGACAAGGGAACAAATAAACTCACTGATTGGACATTAAAACAAATAACTCACAGATGGGACGATAAAACAAATAAACTCACAGATAGAACAATAAAACCTTAAAATCGCTGATGGGACAATAAAACAATTAAACTCACAGATTGGACAATAAAACAAATAAACTTACAGATGGGACAATATAATAAATTAAATCATTGATGGGACAATAAAACAAATAAATAACTGATTTGACAAGAAAGCAAATAAACTCACAGAGGAGACAATAAAACAAATAAACTCACTGATGGGACAATAAAACAATTAAACTCACTGACGGGACAATAAAACAAATAAACTCACTGATGGGACAATAAAATAAATAAAGTCACTGATGGGACAATAAAACAAATAAACTCACTGATGGGACAATAAAACAATTAAACTCACTGACGGGACAATAAAACAAATAAACTCACTGATGGGACAATAAAATAAATAAAGTCACTGATGGGACAATAAAACAAATAAATTCACTGATGGAACAATAAAACAAATAAACTCACTGATTGGACAATAAAACAAATAAACTCACTGATGGGACAATAAAACAAGCAAACTCACTGATGGGATGTTAACCAATAGATAACATAATGAATTACGTCAACAAATCGATCAGGCAATTAAGCAAGATTTGTCCGTAAGACACTATTTAATATTTGAATAAGAACATTCACTTGATAGGGTAATAAGAAACAGTCCTTTAAAACAAGAAAAAGACAGGTCTATTGAACACGTCAGGTGAATTAAAACATGGTACAAAATAAACTTAGAAAAAAAAGAATAGGCCAAATTTTGTTAAAATCCTTGACAGGAGTTAGGCCCTCTTGCCAGGAATTGGATTGGAAGTTTATTATAAGAAGTTGCAAAGCAATATCTGAAAGAGTACAGGAATTAAATGGGGTTGTACAAAAAGCTTAGTGGAATGTTTAAGTTGAAAAATGCACGATTTCGTCAGAATCTTGACAAAATTATGTCCCCTATGTCCTGGAAGTGAAATGATGGTCAACAAGTTTTCAAAGTTTCAAAGCAATATCTATTGTATTGATATTCAAGTTATTGTTCTTTTCTGGAAAGTTGAAAAAAATGGCATTGTATCTTAAATCACATTCTATGAATAGTTATAACATAAACGAACAACATATCGGGAAGTTTCACACATAAAAAAATCATTCCTGTTAGGCCATTCTATGTTCTTCTTGTTATTTAACAAAGAGGTTGGCTAGGTGGCCGCGTTGGAAAGCGCAATTACTTCTAACCATTTGCCCTCCATCATATTATCATAAGGGACATTGTATTTTTCACGCACTAAGTTGCCAGCTCGTGCTTGTAATAATGCACCCGAGGGGCATCCGAGGTCTTCTTTCAACAGTACTGTAATAATGCACCCGAGGGACACCCGAGGGGCACACGAGGTCTTCCTTCAACAGTACTGTAATAATGCACCCAAGGGACACCCGAGGGGCACCCGAGGTCTTCTTTCAACAGTACTGTAATAATGCACCCGAGGGACACCCGAGGGGCACCCGAGGTCTTCTTTCAACAGTACTGTTATAATGCACCCGAGGGACACCCGAGGTCTTCCTTCAACAGTACTGTTATAATGCACCCGATGGGCACCTGAGGTCTCCCTTCAACAGTACAAGCTGGCCTTAATTATGTC